GAGCAGAAGTTCAGTGTTTGACTGAGTTAAAAGCCTCCACAGTATGGCTGAAGAGCTGAGAAAGAGTGGTGAAACGACAGACATATTCCGGGTGATTTTGTGAGAACACCGAAGCAAACCATTTGAAAACATAATTTCCCATCCTATGAGGGGACTAAACCGGAACAATGAAGAAGGGCCAAGGCAGGGATAATGCTCTGGCACCTGTTCTTTTCCCAACTCAAGCTGCAGCGGAGTGATACTTTGCTGCCAAAAAGAGAAGGGTCCGTCCCGGGAGCCTGAAAAAGGCTTTCTAATGAATGTCTGCACAAGCGCGTACATGACCTGCGGAGGTTTATTGAGAATGATCTGCAGGAGATGCAGCACAATGTCCAAGCAGATATCCAATGTCTTCAACGGTCGTCTTCGTATCCTCCACACTCTGGAAAAAGAGAAGCAGAAAAAGGAAAGGAAATCCAAGATTCAGAGGAGACAGACGCAAGGATCGGGCTGTTGATGCAAACAGCAAAAGGAACATACAGCAAGACCAACGAAGACGAAAAGTTCGGTAAGAAAAAGAGATAAATAGCAGGCTCCCATTGTAAGTGGCGATCGCAGAACATTTCAGAGGGCCACAGAACTCAGCTGCTCATTCTTCTGAACACTTACAATGATTACCAAGCTCATACCCAAAAGACCATTGAAGCAGTGTGAGAAATTCCGCTGAAGGAGGGTGTGGGTACAGTGCAAAATCCTATGCTGTCGATGCCCACTCTCCACGGCTAAGGTCAGCCCCATTATAAATTTCCCAATGACGTAAGATAAGCAAGCATGAGCCATGCACATTATGCGATTTCCCAGTGCCCTAATCAATGCACAACCATTTCAGCTTTTCCGCATAAATGCGTTGTTCCCATTGCTGCAGAGAGGCAGCGCCATCCAGAACACATCCGATTTGACAGATGCGCTTCCAAATGAAGGACAGGAAGAACAAACCACTGCACTAGCAATGAGCGATGTTCAACATTGGCGCACAAAAGAGAGGATTGTCTCCCTTTCTCCCTATATAACCCCTTCTCCTTCCACAACCACGGACTGGCCCCGATGTCCTCGACACCATCTATGCTGTCAAGGAGATGACCTCAGCGAACTTCCTAAGGCTACGCAACTGAGACCAAGAGACAACTCAACAAACACAGAATCCATGATCTCTACAAGAAACGTCTGAATAGCTAAATCACCACATATTGACCATGGAGTCCTTGACGTACTCTAAGATAATCCACAAGAGGATGAGGCCCATTCTCACCATGTGTATAGAAAGTCAACACCAAACCAAACGTGAAGTTTCATTGCTCATCCACCTAAGCAACCACTGACTCAAGAAATCTCTTCAAAGCTAATTCAACACCATCTAACATCGACCATCCATGGAGTTCTAGGCATCCTCAAAGATCTTCTACAACAGGAGGATGCCAGCTTCCACCATGGGTATAGAAAGTCGACCGAACCAAGGCAAACGCAAAGTTTCATGGCTCATCCAACTACACAGACACTGACTCCATCACCCCCATAAGAAACCTCTTCAAAGCTAAATCACCACACTCATATATTGCCCACAGCACCCTAGAAGTCCTCAAGTTGACAGCGCCCAGTTTTACCTTCTTTACGGAAAGCCAACCAAAGCCAAGCAAATGCAAAATTTGGTGGCTCATACAACTGGAACTGCAAATCCCGCAAAGCTAATGACATTATCATGTAGAGATTCGCCCTGTAGGAGCAAAAAAACACCAAAGATTTCCACATCTCTCACGGCCATTGGAGCTGCAGTACATCAAACGGGCAAATCTACACTCTACTCGAATTCAACATACGCCAGCATGTCGGCCATAAAACATTTCCAACAGTAGTGGCCTGTGAAGCACTCGTGAGAAAAATGAACCATTCAGGAGATGGCCAAAGGAAGAAATAGATATGAGGCACCTCGCTGCAACATGTGCATTGCAAAATCCTTCGGGGGGCCACATAACCTGGCCCACAAATAAAACATTACTCGAATTCAACATACGCCAGCATGTCGGCCATAAAACATTTCCAACAGTAGTGGCCTGTGAAGCACTCGTGAGAAAAATGAACCATTCAGGAGATGGCCAAAGGAAGAAATAGATATGAGGCACCTCGCTGCAACATGTGCATTGCAAAATCCTTCGGGGGGCCACATAACCTGGCCCACAAATAAAGAGTTCTGTCCTAACCAATGGTGAAGTCTACACCCAACCTCCCATACACCATAGAATCAACTAGTCCAACGAAAGTCGATCCCTTTTGAGACTGATGTCCGAGTGACTTGAACTCGCACTCAACACTAAACAAAAAAAAAAAAAAAACAGAAGCCTCATTAACAACCTCGTCTTCTACTGCAGAGTCAGACATACTCAGCTAGCCAGGGCCTCTACAACATAGCTATGATCACCACATTTGGACCCACATGCATTTGTCCAAAAGATGACCCATAGGCCTCTACAACATAGCTATGATCACCACATTTGGACCCACACGCATTTGTCCAAAAGATGACCCATACCTTCAGAAAGGGAAGTAAACGCATCTATCCAGACAACAGCGGCAGTTCTTTCCCTTTCCGTGAAATCTTTCCCTATCTTCAACTTCTGATATCATCAAAGCTCCTCCTCCTTTCGTTTTGGCTTGCAGGATATACAGTACATTGACTCGTGGCAGCTCTGAACATCCACCTTGCACAGTTTAAGCTTGCATATCCACTTCAGTGGGCCCATGCAATGCCAAGGCCAGCAGGCTTCTCACGAAATTTGGCATTTTTTTGTGGTCAGAAGAATAGGCGAAAACATGGCAGCTTTTCATTACAATGGCAACGAGGTGAGGCGACCCCACATACCACCCGGAGAAACAGGTACCGGAAGCATCATGCAGCTTAAGCTTACAGGGCGAGCCTTGACTGGCTCTCGGCCAATATTGTCGCAGCTCTGGGCTGCATCCCAATCCTAGCTCTAACCTACTGCTACGACTACTGCTAACTGTCTATAGCAGCTCCGTGCTGCTAACTCTCTCTCTCTCTCTCTCTCTGTCTCTCTCTCTCTCCCCCCAAAGATCTTCTTCGTATATAGACTCCTGACTCTGTCAATATCACGTACCAGAAAACCATTTCCCATCTTCTTGCTCAGGGGAAGGTGCCCAACTGCCTGTGGGGAACCCCTTGTTTGGTGGACAAGCAGATCGGGACATACACACAGTGTAAGGGGAGGGAGAGAGACAGAGACATACACACAGTGTAAGGGGAGGCGGAGAGAGAGACAGACACATAACATAGCAACTGCCAACAGAGAGAGATTGAAAGGTGCCAGTGGAGAGAGAGAGGAGGCAGGGAGTAGGAAAGGCGGACAAAGCGCAGAGAGAGGGAGGGGGGAGGGTGAAGGGAGGTCAGGTGAAAAGGGCAAAGTGGACTCTCTTCGTGTCCATCTTTAGTCTGCTTGGCCCAGAACGGAATTGAAGTTAATCCCCTAACCTGCCTACTTAATTTTTTTGTCAGTCTCACTGACACAGCCGAATAGGACCTTGGCAAGCAGTGTTGCCTGAGTTCTTTTCCATCAAGTCTGCACGAGGACACCTATTTACCTTTTGCTGCAGGTGGAGCAGCGGTTCAAGTTTGGGCACAGCCAGAATTGCCCCAGCAACATGAATTGAGAGGAACGGCAATGCTAGTGCAGCCCTTCTTTTCTATTCGTAATTTCGGGACCGCCTCGTTTTTCCTTTCGTGTTGTCCAGGGTATGGCCATTTACCAACTCCGGCGCCACCTACCAAAGCTGGGAAACACGCTGCTTATCCGATGGCAGGTTTTAACAAACAGCAGGCATGTTTTGACCACCTGCTGAATCCCGTTGAGGTGAGCCCCGGCATAGCTTTACACCCGACCGGAGGATCTCTGAAAAGCAGAAATCGACATCACATGGAACAGACCCATAACCAACACCTTTCCACCATTCCTTTTTTATTGAGCATCTAGACACCTCTCCCACTCACTGTTCACCCACATCCAGACGAAACATTTATACACGAGGAGGATCATACACAAGGATGACTTGTTTACAACCACCTACACATGGTCGAGTTGTACACAGGCCCGCACAAGGTCGACTCGTATATAGTCTCCTCCAGAAGTGTCCTACCAAGGCAATACTGACATGATGAAGCTACGCCATTAAACCAAAAATGATTTAAATGAGGGCAAAATGACCATGAGGGGAAATGTGTCCCAATTTCGAGCATTGAAAAACATGTCCTTGGGGACATCCATGAAAATTTGAACGATACAGAAAAGTTCGGCATGGCCTTGCAGAAGGATGACAGAAAGATCAACAAAAGGCCCAAATTTTAAAAGAATTAAAGAAAAGACAATTCTAATTTAATACATCGATGTTACTCCTTAAGGTGCTCTTTGTCACCCCTCACCACAAAATGGTTCACCCTGCTTCACACACAAAAGGCCACATACTATGACCGAGGGCGGCACTGAAGCTCCCCCATCAAAGCAAAAAACGAGAACAAGGGGAAAATCCCCACGAGGGAATGTGTCACAATTTTGAGAAATGAAAAACTAGTTCCATTTTACCGAAGTTGCCGTTATTCCTTTACCACCCATTATCGCAGCGGTTGATGCTTCAATTGCCACCACCCAAACCGCTTCCCAGGATCATCCCAGTATACACCGGTCAAACCACTAACCTTATCCATCTGGTTTCTTAAAGGCAAGTGCCCATCACAAAACCCTGGGGTCCGGAATTCAGGGAATAAGGGCCCACGCACAAGGCAGGTCCAACAAAATCAGTTCTGCAGTGGTACATCGGTAGCAGATCTTCCACCTCTACCCAATGACATTTTCTGAACTAATTCAAAAGTCCAAAAGCAATCCACATCACCACTATTGCATTAGCAGCTGGCACACTTTTCCGCACACACTGGTAATGCAAGGAATGAGGAGACTTACCAATCACCGTGCCGTTCATCTTGTCCACAGCTGCCTTTGCACACTCAGGTTTCTCAAAATTGACAAAACCAAATCCTTTTGGTTTATCGTTCTCATCCCGCATGATCACAAGGTTTGTGATCTTTCCAAACTCTTCAAACCTCTGCCTCAGCATATCCTCCGTTACATCGGAATCTATATTCTTTATGTAAACGTTTGTAAACTTGGGTTCTGTACCATTCTCTTGCCGATCTGTTTTCTTCACGAATGGGCCCACAAACCTGCAGATCAGCGGACAAGTGGTTTGGTTATGCAAATGATCAGTACCTACCCTGGTAAAAATTACTGTCCACCACCTACCATTTGACTCCTAAATCTGGAAGCTTTGCATTCACGGGTTGTTTGAGGATATTTTGCTCTCGATTCACAAGTACTCTTTTCAGAAGTAGCCACAAGTAAAATATAAGTGAACAGGAAGGGGCATAGAACAGTTGGAACACCCACAAACTGTTGAAACACAGACCTGTGTTGGAGTAGTGATCGACATTCCTGAATTACCTGGGGCACGTCAGTTTCAGTTTCACGGTGATATCTCAAAAGACGTGAACACCAATTCAATAAGAATTTTATCACAAGTGATTCACCTGAACAAGACATCCATAGTCCTTATAGTGGTGTACCGCTTGCAAGGCGATTCCCCAAAATACGGTGATCAGACAGGAACACCCCCTCTTCTGCCTACCGTTTTCCCCAAACTACCTCGAGCACAAATTACGGACAACCGTTTTCCCCAAACTACCTCGAGCACAAATTACGGACAAATTCAACCAAAGGGTACATTGCATTCAAAAATAATATTCAGAATCAAGCTACCAAATTTCCACAAGTTCCACCATAAAGTTAATTAATATCACAAAGAATATTCAATGCACAAAATGATTCCAGGAAACTAAAGAGGTCACGCTCTCTATTTTGGGACCTACCGTCTCCCCCCAAACATAACGCACCCCAATTAAGGATGTATACACCCCATCTTTCCAGTCCAAGTGATACATCCTCAATTGAGCAATGCATATGGAGCCAAGGATCCCTGAAGTGCTGAAAAGGACTCGAATGGACAATGCAGCATTAGCAACGCAAAGAAGCAATGTACATCCAGATACATATGAAAATAGCACAATGTAGCGCAGCAGAAGACTCGAAGATATGACCTGACCTATCAGAGACTGACGCAACATCCCATCATACACCACACATGTGAGAGAGGGATGAGGGAACGCATACATGGAAGAAAGGTCCCTCCTTGCAAACGAACACGGGAGAGACACCACGGACGAAGAGATTGGGGAGAGGCAAGACGAAGATGGAGATGAGGGAGAAGACCAACATCCGAATAGCTAAGTCCAAAAATAGTCCCCTTGCCGAATGTCCAAGCAATCTCTGCCACAAAAACGTCGAATGAGATCCTGGGCCTCGTACCCGATGTGACCTCTGCCTGTAACCTCTCTCTCTCTCTCTCTCTCTGAAAGAGACGAAAAAGGAGACAGAAGAGATGGAGAGCGAGACAGAAGAAGAAGAAGATATCGTCCTCCTCGCTATCTCACCTGCAAGTACCTGCCCCCATGTATTAACTGCCGCCATGTATTAACTGCCGCCATGGTCCCTGTTCAGGTCGCGCGGAGCGCGGCTACAGTCCCAGATAAGTACCGCTGCTGCAGGTATGGCCTCCGCCTCACCTCCTACCTACACCTGTACCTCTACAGCGCAGCCCTGTGTCGCGCTGCTCCAGCAGCATGTCATCCAAGAAGTGAGCTAATCGAACTGTGTGTCTGCCCAGATGTGGCCCAGCTGTAAGTAGCGCTGGGCCTCGCGGTACGCCTCTGGTCCTGGCAGCAGATACATAAATAAATAGATGCTGCCTCAAATCAAAACCTGCAGCCCTAAGCCCGGCCATGGGCCTCCAGAGCGCATGTCCACAGGCTGCTCCAGCAGCATGTCATCCAAGAAGTGAGCTAATCGAACTGTTGTCTGCCCAGATGTGGCCCAGCTGTAAGTAGCGCTGGGCCTCACGGTACGCCTCTGGTCCTGGCTGCAGATAAATAAAAAAATAGATGAATAAATAAATAGACGCTGCCTCAAATCGAAACCTGCAGCCCTAAGCCCGGCCATGGTCCTCCAGAGCGCATGTCCAAAGGGCGCATGGCCTGGGGCCCTCAGCAACCGTTGGGCCCCCAAACGGGGCCCATGTGCAGGCTCAGCATGTAACACCCCCCCCTCATGAAATCAAGTCGGGTCGAGGCGAAGCTGACAATCCGATGGTGGAACCTGGACGCAAGCACGGAGTGGAGCGAAGGTGCTGGCTTGCCTTGCTGTTTGTGTTCATAACCTGCGAGAACATAGGGAGCTGTAGCCTGAAGTTCTAGACGGGTCGACCAGCAGTTAGCCTTATGGCTACATTAAATCACCAGTACTTGGCCCAGCTATCCGCCCCAGAAAAAAAAAGAGTACAAACATTTCTAGTCGGATGAATTTGGGCGCACCTGTACTAGCCCGTACGCTTCCTAAAATCGTGGTGCCTTAACGGCCACGACTCGAGGAAGTACTCGTTTAAGACAATTGTACTAAGTACTCCGTCGGCTTGGTGGTGTAGCATCGCTGCGAGATGATGTCGCTTACCTCCTGAAAACTGTCCATGGAGGGTGGGGCTTGCAATCCCCGCCCGGGAAAGTCCTTGCATTCCGCCAGAACAAAAAGAGACTACTTTGAACAATGAAAGACCAGGTAGACAGGCAAGTGGGCGGACACCTGAATGACAAATGAAGGTCCTTCAGGAGCCTCGCCAGCAGGTGCTACAATGCGCCAACGCCCCATCCATTTAGGAAGGAGTTTGCGAGAGATATCTTGTCTGAGGCTAAATTCCTTGACGGTGACCCAAACAAGGTCGCCGACGCAGAACTGACACGTAAGACACTGGTGATTGGCCTGTTGCTTTGTCTTCAACATCTGGTCGCGTGCCTTGACAAGGAGCTCTTGCATCCGTTGAACGAAAATACGCTGGTCATCAATCTCGGTCGTCCGTGGGGTGACGGTTTCCAACAGCGATGTGACCGGCGAGCCATGCTCGAACTCGAAGGGCGATGTCCTGATGGCCGAACGAGTGGAAGAGTTGTAAGTCAACTCGGCATCCTGCAGCCGCTCAACCCAATCCTTTTGGTCCGGAGGAATGAGAGTGCAAAGAAGAAGCTGTGCGGTTTGATGCACCCTCTCCGTTTGGCCATCAGTTTGTGGGTGGCAAGCCAAGCTTGCCTTGAGAGATGAGCCCCATCAGAGAGATGAGCCCCATCACAGAGATGAGCCCCATCGTTTGATGAGCACTAACCAAAAGTAGGACATGAACAAATTGTCGCGGTGGCAAACGATCTCCTTGAAGTAACCCTTGGTACGAATCCAACCAGCATAAAGAACCTCGGCCAACTCCGGTGCCTTGGCTCGATAGCGACGAGGCAAAAACATGGCTGACTTGGTGAGTCGATGAACCACCTTGAAAATCCCATCCACACCAGTCTTGTGCTTGCGGAGCAGCCCAGTGATATCCCATGGCAATCAATTCCCGTCGTCCGAAGCGGACCGGTAACGATCGCAACTCACCAAACGAACGATGATTGTGGAATTTGCAACATCAGCAAACCTTAAATGACTGACTTCCCCACAACGGTCGGGCCACCAAAAGCGCTCCCAATATTGGCCAATCATACGATTGACCCCAAAGTATCCTGTGGCAGGAGTGTCATGGAACTCGCCAAGAAGCCGCGTACGCAAGTGTGCATTAGTCGGTTCGCAAAGAAGATCCTTCCCCCACGAGTGGACTAGCAAATAGCCCTCTCCAATTCGATAGTGCAATGGCGCCGGATTTGGAAAGGAACAATTCGTGTACTTGTCGCGAAACTCGGGATCGACTTGGTAGCCACAGATGAAGCTGGTTCGCAAGTCGTCATCAACCTCTAATGCGCCGTGAAAGGGCATCGGCAAAACCATTCGACTTTCCGGATTGTGATGGGAACAAAGTCGAACTGATCGATGATTGCCATCCAACAAGCTATGGTGTTGTTCATCGTATCCTAGGTCTTGTAAAAAAACAAGGGATTGTTGTCCGTTACCCATCAAAATTGACATCGATCAAAAAGAAAACGTTGCCACCGCTTAAGCGCACGTACAAAGCCCAATAACTCCCTCCAGGTATCGTCAATGGAGTGCACGACGGCCACCTTCTTACGAAAATACTTGACCGGGTGCCAGTCCATGCCATCGTGTTGCTCAAGGACAGCACCAATTCCATAGCCGAACACATCAGTAGTGACACGTGTTGGCAAAAGCAGGTCCTAAATGCGCAAAACCTCCGCAGATAGCAAGGCGACTTTGAGGGCTAAAGAGGAAGCCCGCACATCTTCGCCGAAGTCGAACAGCCGATCCTCCCAATGAAGCTTGGTCAAATGGGCCACGATCTTCGAATCGCCTTTGATAAAGCATTGATAGCAGCCGGCTCGACCAAGAAACGAACGAACATCCATAACGTTCTTCGGCTCCGGCCACTCTTGACTGTCTTGAATCTTGTCCTACAACAGACTAACACCCTCCGATCTGACAAAATGGCCCAAATACTCGACCTTTGCCGTACGAATTTGCACTTGTCACAGTTGGCTTTGTACTTGCCGCGACGAAGCGTCTGCAGCACGCATTGAAATGCTCAAGAATGTCGTCCAAGTAGACCACCACAAACCGTTCAACATCGCACGGAGCCCGTTGGTCATCGCCGCTTGAAAAGTCGTTGGAGTATTGGTGAGGCCAAAAGGCATGACAACCCACTCAAAATGCCCGTACCTCATCTTGAACGTGGTTTTGTAGCTATCTTATGGGCGTATCGAAATCTGATGATAGATAGCCCGACTTCAAATCCAACTTTGAGAAAATACAACTTTGAGAAGAACTTAGCACTGCCCAAACGCTCAAGAAGATCATCGAAATGAGGAAGAGGCCTCGCATTCTAGACGATTTGTATAAGCAAAGACCCATGTTCTTCTTCCTTACGAGAAGAACCTCCACACCAGATGGTGAGCTACTACGGCAGATCCAACCCTTTTCCAACAAGTCATCAAGGTGCACGCGGAGAAGCTCCTCCTCGCTCATGCAATAGATGCATCCTTTCACCTGCACAACACCAGCGTCAAGAATGATCTCATGGGAGATCGGCTGATCCGACACCACACCAGTGGGAGACACGAAG